AGCAGGAACGAGATCTTGTTGGTTATTTATTCCCAAGGCACTAAAAAATGTTCGGTGGCATCAAATGTACGTTACAAAGTACATAAATAGCCAATTTTGGTACTTTATTACTAATACCGAATTAGTGCGCACTTCCCAAGCCAGACAGTGCGATGGTACAGACCACGGCTTAAAGATTAATCTCTCTCTCTCTCTCTCTCTCTCTTTTTTTTTTTCCAGAATAAAAAGAAACACACACACTGGAGCCAGCAGATGGCATAGTAGTTATGTCACTGGACTCCCACGTGGTCGACTGCGGTTCAAGTTCTGGACCTGGTACCTTGCTTTCTCACTTTTCCTCTCTCTCTCTGCCTATCTCTGACCAATTGGAAAATAATAATAATGATGATAATGTTTAAATAAAATAATTTTTTAGTTAAATTTTTAAAAATTTTGTTATTTTTTTAAATTTGACCAAAGAGAAACAGAGAGAGGGAAAATGAGAAAGCAAGCTGCCAGGTCCAGGACTTAAACCATGATAGGCTACGTGGGAGTCCAGCAGCTCCACCACCACACCACCTGCTGGCCTCAAAGATTAATCTCTCAGTGAAGAGACTGCAATGGTGGCAAAGGTCTGTCGGCTGCATTTGATGACAGTGACTGAACCAAGAACAGAATGGGTACAATTGAGGTCATCCTTCTGCTTTTCTGATCTTTTTTCTTTTAAGAGTTACTTATTTACTTTTATTTGTCATTATTATTATTATTAATTTGCTACAGGGCATGCACATTCACCAGAGGGACAGAGAGAAAGCAAGCCACCAGGTCCAGGACTTGAACCACAGTCAGCCCTGTGGGAGTCCAGTACCTCAACCACCATGCCACCTGCTGACCCCTATGATCTCCTAAGCAGTTATTTTATTTATTTTTAGATTTTTGCCATAGGGCATATGTACTTGCTGGAGCGAGACAGAGATGGAAGGAAAGTGAGAAATCACCTCCCAAGGGGGATGGCCATGCTGCAATCCCATTGTTTCCATTCTCCTCTCAGGATTTTTAGGAACACACGCACATGTGCCTGGTGTATTTTTCAAGCTGCCATGGCCTGGACTTGAACTGCAGAGTTGCTTATGTGGAATCCAGGGCCTTAACCATCATGCCACCTGCTGGCTTCCTAAGCACTTACTTTCTTTTTCTTTTCTTTCTTTTTTATTTTGAGAGGTTTTTGCTATAGGGCGTGTGCGCTCGCGAGAAAGACAGAAAGCAAGAAATCACCCCCCAGAGGGATGGTCACGCCGCAATCCCTTCTCCATTTTCCTCTCAGGATCCTGGGCACGCACTCACACACACCTGGTGTGAGTTTAAGCCACTGGGTCTGGGACTCGAACTGCGGTTACCTACATGGGAATCCAGCGACACAACCATTACGTCAACTGCTGGTCCCCTAAGCACTTACTTTAATACTGTTATTCCGTAAAGCACATACTGTAGCATCTTGCTTACTCTTTGTATGTCTGATTCCTCCAATATATTTAAATTCCTCAAAGGGACTCATTTGCTGGGCTTGGTAGATGAGTTCAGAGTGTCTGAGGGATCCCTGAAACTGCACTTAAAGACCAAGAAACCCCTCCTAGGAACAGGGTCCCTAATTTCTCTATGACTCCCCACTGTCTTAACGTTTTTGTTCAGTTTTAAATCTTCTATTGACCTTGGTCCACCTGTGAGGGACCGCCTTCGGGGGAGAAAAGAAGGCGGAGTTCATTACCGATTTCCTCTCCTGCTTCAGCTCCTGGACGTAGCGGGCCAAGTCCATCGTGATCTGGGAGGTCATGTTTTCCGAGATAACTTCATGCTGCCCTGCGTAGTCATTCATTTCATTCAGGGTGGAAAGGAAGGCTTTGCATGACGTGTACCTACGGACAGAACACACACAGCTCCTTTTCAAGCCGGGCTACTTCCGCTCTAACACTGCCCTACGCCGGTGAAACAGTAATTAAGACCAGGGTAATTTGCATCCACCTCCGCTGGGATCCTGGTGGTTCATCACACATAGTATGTTCTCATCAGAATGGCTCTGAGTTAATTACAACTGGAACACTTTTCATTTTGCAAAATGGAATTGCTCTATGTAATGCAACATTTGGCGTTGTTGATCCTCGGTCCAGATGTAATCCAAAATATACACACATGCCGTGTGTACTGATGTAAGGGATATTTAGATCTAAACTAACACATAATACTCCGGGCTGCCCATACTAAGACGTCTGAATTGCTGACTAAAATAGACATATTTCGTGCATGAACGAGTGGCATAACGGGGACTCCAGACACGACAAAACTAATCAGGACTCTGGAATGCATAACCGGTACTTCCCGTATTTGCTTAGATTACATTCTAAACTTGTCTTAATTAAGCAATCTGGAATGGGTCTAGTGATTCAGTGTAAGAAAAGCTCCCTGCGAATGTTTTTTATTGTTCTCGTCCCTCAGTTTTAAAACGGACACAAATGTCAATGGGAAATGCTGCTTATTTTTATAGATCTACAGTTCTTGCCCTTCTCAATCATCATCAGTGCTTATGGATAGTACCACACAATTATCAATTAGAAACATACTTGTATTCTTCTTCCTCCTTTGAGTTCTTTTTAGGTTGGTATTTCTTCGAAAGATTCCTAAAATAAAAATGCAATCATGTCATCTTATTTGGAAAGATAACTGAGAAATCAGGAATGAAAAATCAAATTAGTGCTTTCTGTTTACAAGTTAAAGAAAGATAATGTCTGCGGCTGAAATTCACTCAACTCCTTCCATCTTCCTTCCCTCACTGTCAGAGAGGGCCTCCCTGCGGGGCATGGCCATGCCACGATCCTTCCTCCTCCATTTCTCCATACCATATGAATTTGGGCCATGCATGTACATGAGTCCAGTGTTTATCAAGCTGCCAGAGCCAGGATTTGAACTCATCACCATGTGGGATCCAGCTGCCCATGCCCAGGGCTTAACCACTGTACTTCGGGGCCAGTCCTCATTCACCTTCCAGCATGTGTGGGGGTGCTCCTAGACCAAAGACATGTCTACCTCAAAGGTAGAGGCAGGAACAACAGAAATGGCCACTGCTGGTCACTGAGGTGGACAGTAAGACCCCACTTCATTCGATGGCATGTATAGGCCCCGAGTGACTACCCAATGGCTTTCACTGGCAGCACTGAAGGGAGGGCAGTTTTCTTACCGTTCCCTGTGGCCGCCCTCAGTTGGGCACTATTGTTTCAAATTCAAAGAAAACAGTGTCCAAATATTGAAATTAGAAGTCCAAGTCCCAAGGGCATGTTTCCAAGGCTCTGTGACTGCGCCACCAAAGCGCTTCCTGCGGGAAGTAGAGACTGCATTTCGAGGTGGTTCGTGCTGAGACATACAAGTAGGGGACATTTAAACGGCCTGGCTCTGCGCGCTGGCACACGCGGGCCAGCCAAGAGCTGCCCTGGCTTCCCTTCCTAATCCCATCTCCAGGTCAGGAATACAAATGCGTTTGCCTACATTCAGCGTGCTAAACGCACACGCACACTAAGAGGCAAGCGCAAGCGAGGACTCCAGCACTGGTTCCGCTGGCGGGTTCGTGAGCCTTCCCTCTAAGCTACTGTGGTTAGAGAAATGACCAACGGAAGCTTTATGGCTTCCAGTCTGTAGCAGCCATCAAAATCCTTTCGATGTTATCTCTGGAGATCTCCAGAGGGACTCAGTCTTCACTTCCTGGTGCAGTCCCTGTGGCTATTCCTCTCTGACGTAGGTACCACTATAATTTCACATTTTACCTTTATTTCTTCCATTTCCTCCAAGTCTATAGATTTGTCTAGAAAAATGTGTGACAAGTTTACGATTTTGATCACGGTGCATGTTACAGACAACGTGAAATGTTGTTTCGTCTCTAAATGTAGAGGTGATGCAAGAGGCCTTGGGCTTCAGGGAGAAGGACACCGCTCTGGGAAGCGCGAGACCGCGTGCCCGGGCACCATGACCGGGACACATCAACAAGTGGGTCTAGGATTCCGGCTCCTTGTCTCCAAGTCAGACAGTGGTTCTGAAATTCCAGGGCATTTACAATACCCAGTAGAACATCAGCTTTGCCGTTATTCAGACAACAAAGGCCTGATCACGAAACAGTTAAAAATTATAATTAGACCAAATATGAAAGAAGATACACCTACTCCAGGGCTGCTATCAGAGAGCATGCGCTCCAAGGCAGGCCGGCACGTGTTCGCTGTGATTCTGCAGACACACAGCAGGGCTCCATACAACTACATTCAGAAGAACGCGAAAAAGCAGTATTTCCTTAAAGGGTGTGCCGCAGGGCACAGATAGAGGAGGAAGGAGAAGCACTTTATGTGGAAAGTTCAGATGAGTTCTTGGAGCTAGTTCATCACAGCCGCTCCTTAAAGACATGCAAAAACAACAGCATCCCAAGTGCCGGGAACGCGAGGGAAGGGCAGGCGAGCCAGGGCCAGACCACTGCACAACCAAAGATTCTTTCCCAGACAGAGTGAGGGTGGGACGCCTGGGAGACGGGGACTGGGAAGGCTGAGGGCTACATATGAGGTGTTTTTAGTCCATGGTTTTAAATAGTAGCCATTTCCTTCTGTGAACTATAACTTACAAATTACAACCACTACTTCTAAATTCACACCTCACATCAAAATTCTTTTCTAAACTGTTATTTTAAAGGTTTATTGGGAAAAGCATTTGGCGTAATGGCTATGTTGCTGGACTCCCACGTAGTTAACCGTGGTTTGAATCCTGGACCTGGTGGCTTAAACTCAGGCTAGGTGAGTGTGTGCGTGCCCAAGATCCTGAGAAGAGAATGGAGGAGAAGGGATTGCGGTGTGGACATCCCCTTGGGGGGTGATTTCTCGCTTTCTGTCTCTCTCTCTTTCTGGCGAGCACACACACCCTATAGCAAAAACCTCTCCAAAAGAAAAAAAAAAGGTTTATTTTCCTATTAGCTTTTAGTCTTTAGCAGCTACAAAAATCACTTAAATGTTCTATCCAGCTGAAGGAACCCAGCTTGAAGAAATCCAGGTAAAGCAGGCATTCTCTAGTCTGTTTCATTAGTCAAATGCTAGGCAGGGTGGCCAGACATGGTGCGGCAGCGAAACACGATGCTCTGCGAGGCAGTTCCACAGGGGAAGGCCCCTACCCGAGTCCAGAGAACTCCCTGAGTACGCCAGGCCTGTGCTGGCCAGTGAGCCAGGCGAGGTGAGGACAGGTGCACTGTGGCGTCAGGAACCTAGCGGGGTGCTGTCTCTCTCTCTCACTCATGGAAGAAATAGTGAATAAATTTAAAAATTATTAAATCAGGGCCGGCAGGTGGCATGGTGGTTAAGGGCGCTGAACTCCCACATGGCCAACTGTGGTTTGAGTCCCAGACCTGGCAGCTTGCTTTCTCACTTTCCCTCTCTCTCTCTCTCATTCTGTCCCTCTCTGGACAAATTAATAGTAATAATAAACTCAAAAAAATTATTAAATCAGGGCCAGCAGGTGGTTAAGGCACTGACCATAGTTCGAGTCCTGGACCTGACGGAGTGGGAATCGCGCCGGGTGCGTGTGCATGCATGCCCAAAATCCCAGGAGAAGAACAGAAGAAAAGGGACTGTGGCATGGCCATCCTTCCTGGGGGGTGATTTCTCACTTTCTACCCCTGTCTTTGTCTCTCTCCAGCAAGTGCATGGCAAAAATCTTTAAAAAAAACATTCTTAGCTTTGAAAATAGCTTGGAAAAACAGGTTGGAAATACTTTGTGAGTGATACTGTATAGACTGTCAGGTTGGGAGGACAGAGTGTCAACTTCGGCAATATTAGCAAGTGTAGCACTCAAAATGCTTCTTAAAGGCACTGACAAATAATGTACTCTAAATACCGGCAGAAATCTAAGAGCTAAGGAGACCTACAAGTGAATGTCGGATTGAAGGCTATTTTATCTCGAGAAATACTACAAAAAGAGGTCCCCTTTCCCTGTCTATTCTCTGGGGACAGGCCCTCTCTTCCTATCTGTACTATTAAAAAACAAGCAGGTACACCAGCCAGTGACACAGGGTAAAGGTGGCTGGATCCCACCAGGCTGTGTGCAGTTCGAGTCTGAGACCTGTCAGCTTGAGAAACATACTGTGCACATGTGCATGTGTGCCCCAAATCCCAAAAAGAGCGAGAAATGGAGCAGAAGGGATTGCAGCGTGACCATGCCCTACGGGGGGACGGTGCTTTCTTGGTTTTCCCCTCTCCTTCTCTCTCTGGCAAGCATGTGCACCTTCAAGCAAAAAAAAGCCCCCAAAACAAAACAGGTGGTGCAGCTGTAACTCGATGCTCTGTGATGCTGGACCTCGTGATGGGGAGGTCCCGGGTTTGTGTCCTGAGGTCTCCCTGTACATGCCAGGCACATGCGCGTCCGTGATCTGGGATGGCTGGAGATGGATCATGGCACGGGGATGCTGCTGGGGCTGTCCCCTTCTCTCCCTATCTGGGGACAGTGCTGGGGCTGTCCCTCTCTCTCCCCACCTCTCTCTGATGAAAGAAATGAAAGACTTGCGTAGGAAGAAGAGAAAACAAGCAGGCAAAGGAATCACAAAAGCATCACATTTAAATTCATGAGGCCTGAGAAATCCAAAATGTCTTTACACTGTTTGCTCTTCAGAAAGATCCATTAAAAGGGGAGAGAGAAACATACATCCTTTAATAACAATGCTGGACTCAGATCTGGCTCACCCTAAGAACCATATGAGGCTTCTAAAAATGAGATGTTTGGGTCCTGTCCCAGACCCTCTGAAACAGAAAGTCCGAGGTGGGCCCAGGGGTGTTGGTGTGCTTTCTTTCTTTCTTTTTTTTAAAGGTCGCCACAATATTTTCAGATAAAGCTGGCAGCATAAAATCTGATCACACAACTGCGCTTTCCCAAGAACGAAAGGTGAAAGACCAAAGGCAGGGGAATGTGCCGTAGCAGAAAATAAACAAACCAAGACAGGAATCCAGCCTCGGTCCACATACTTCGGAGTGGTGGCGAGGGAGAGGGACGGAAGATTCTGGGAAGGCTTAAAGTGGATGCTGGCCCCGCCCTCACAGTCACAGAGGGAGGTAGTCCACAAATCCTGCATGTCAATTCGCACTCCCGAGTGGTGAGTAAGCACTCAGGGGACGGAGGCAGAAACCTCTGGAACTGAAGGACAGGCAGCAGCGGGCATGCCACAGAGGCCTCCACTTTCCTGGCAGACAGCTGAAGGCACGGGGTTCATGTGTCCTGGTCCAGGGGTTCAAATCTAACCCCTAGCTGAACCCAGCCTAGGGGTTCCCCCGGACGGAATACATCTGCAGCTAGTGGGGTGAACCCCAAAACAGAAGCTCTGCCAAAGTTTCAGGAGAGACAACCAAGCTCAGAGTCTCTAAGGCAGGCCCCTTTCCTACTCCGACTCAACATGCCCTGTCCCCAGCTCTCAGCAATCCGGCAGATCATGCAATTCTGCAGCCTGGAAGGAACTGAGAGGGGGCCAGCCATGCCAGAGAAGGAAGGAGCACGGCTAGGACAGCCCCTGCATTCCACCAGGGCAAACAGGCTCCTGGTGCTGCTCACCTTGGCCACACGTGCGGCCAGGGTCACCCCTAAACTCGACACGCTTTACTCATCACGTCCCGCC